TGGACTGACCCTATCCTCATGCATCATATTATATATGTTCAAAAGCCTATAAAGCCTAAGCACATCAAACCAAGCCTCTTTGACATGTTTTGTGCCAATGGCCTGGGGTGAGGAAGCTTGGTCAAGCATGTCAGCTTGAAAGAGCAAGAAGGAGTTGTATCAATTGATGGGATGTGGGGAGGCTTCTGCTTCTTGCACAAAAATAGCAAGGTTCTGGAAATTAACAGAGTCTAACATGACCAGAAAATGGTCAGATAATACTAACATGTATGTCAGTGTAAGGAGCAAAATGTGATGCCAGATCCAATTTAGTCAATAAAATCTCAGTGAACCAACAAAAGGCTTCAAACTTTAGATTGCCCATACATACATGTAGCAAAGGTTTGTCCATCTACACAGATCTAGAAGTGTGAGAGAATGAATGAAGATTCCAGAGCTCAGAAAAAGAGTTTAGATAAACCCAGAACTCAGGTCAGGAGAGGGAGGAGTTTGAGTAAACCCAAAACTCACTGGGTGAGAAAAGGGAGGAGTTTGAGAAAACCCACTTCCAAGTTGGAAGTGAGTCAAATCAATGGTATTACATTTAATCAAAATCTATTTTAGTCATGGAGTTGTACATATCCTCAATCAAAACATGTCCAAGATAGGATATATCATCAAAATGGATTTAGAATTATTGGGTCACCTGCTCTCCTTCTCATGTGCTGGTTGTTGTGTGCAACATCTATTCTGGCCAAGAACTTCAATACCTCAGTGGAAAACCCTTTCTGCTTGGGCTCTTGGTTACATTGTTGGACACAGCAGCCATGGAAAAATGTTGTTTCAAACCTACAAGTCCCAAAATTGGTTCAATGTTTGGATGGGATTACTGTCATATCCCATCACAAAAGTTAAGTCAGCCAACCCATCCAGTATCAATACAGGCTGGCAAGAAGCACTATTACAGAGTAGCTTCACATTTGACACAAATGATGTACTTTATGCTTTGTCAGTCTGCAACTTCTCTTCAAACACTGAATGAGCTGGTGTCTTCTTTAATCTTACTAGCAACAACATGAGTCAACCCCCTATCAAGTGGTTTTTGGAAGCTGAACCATTTGTGCCCTTGTATTCTTGAATTATCAGCTCAGGCAGAACTAGCTACTATGTCTATTAATGCAGTTAAAACCTTTCAATGCTTCTCAACATTTCCACATTTTCAACTTTCACTATGCCTTAGTCAGCAGTTACTGGGCTGTATATCAGTTGGGCCACTGCTGAAAATCTTATAAAATGCACAGGCATGCACTTTGTAATGAAACAAAATATGCTTGTTGTTCAATGTGTTATTGTGACAATATCTGAACAATGTGCATTTCCTGAGAATCTCTTTACACTCATCTAATATGTCTGCTTACAGTTGTTGGCTCAAATTTGTTACATTGGCCACTTCTTACAGGCTTTGCCAGTGTATGCAGAAGACTTGTTTAAAAAGTTTCTTACCAAGTCTGCCAATGTTCAGTTGTGGACATTGTACTCATTGTATATAAGGTATATGTCCAACCACCTCTGTATGCTTAGCCAGAGCAGTCCCAAGCTTTGGGGAATATGCTGCTGCTAGCAACAGCTGCCATCCTGACTGACTCTTTGTGCTGCACTCTAAGTAGTGCACAGCAGTCTTAATGCTATTCTCATAGGCTTTTGCCTCTGCAACAAACAGTGTTCACTTTGGGAGTGAGCCTGCCATTGTGTATTAATGCCACAAGCATGGCAGAGGGCATCCCCTCCAAAAATTGCTCACAAATGGTGAATATGTCAGGGAAAACAGCCATGTTTTGAGCATGGTCAAGCAAGGCATCATAGAATCCTTGCACCCCCTCTTCAACTGCATACACCACATTGCAGAACATGTTGCATGTATCCTGCATCATTGAGGGCTGTACAAAATGATTATACAATTCAAGGACTACATCCTCAATTCTCCAGTAGGACTGGGCCCTGTTGATATGTATTACATGTTGCAGGTACCATTTCAGGGCACCTGCAGCAAGGAAGTCCATTAGAATCAGGACTTTCTCATGCTCACACCCATCTCCACCATATTGGGCTACTATGTAAAACATGCAGACACTCATCAGCCAGTTCTCAAGTTCAGTGAACTTGGCAGATCCAGCATATAGAGTGATTGTCTTTGATGGATCACTCCTCCTAGGCTTGAGTCCATCTGCAATTGCCAGTTGGACAGCAAGAATTTGCTCCATCACTGCCTGTAGACAATTATGCATTGTCTGGTGGTGATATTTGTGGGCTTCCTCCACTTCAGGAGTGGTAAATTGTTCATGGTGTTGTAGTGGCATTTGAAAACCACCATGGCTGTTCTCTTTGAGAGAACTGTAGTCCTCCCACCAGCTCTATGATCCTCATTGTCCTCTTCATCTACTGGACCATTACCTGGTCCATTGAGATCTGGTGGACCTCCTCCTGGAGGCAGTAGTAGTCTTCAACCAGGAAAAGGTGGTCCTCTTCCTGGTCCTCCACCACCTCCACCTGGCCTAGGCAGTCCATGACAAGGTGTCAATGGCAGAGTGGACTCAGGATTACCCCCAGGTGATCCTTGCCATATATCTACTCTGCCTGTTGCTTGATTGCCAGACCAACTTGAAGGGGCATTCCCTTTCTGGTTGGTCAGCCTATAACATGCATTGGAGCTACTCATAGTCCTAATGGGTATAGGCTGAAGGGCTGAATCCCACACATATATGCATAAGAGCACTTCCTTCAGAGTGGCTCCAGACTTAAAATCAGGTAGTAAACTGCACACCCCAGGTCTTATAGGTTGACTTTGCAAACTGTCCACTATCCATAGAGGTACCACAAAAAGAAAAAAGGAACCTGGGAAGTATTCACAAGACCTTCACTGCCTTACAAGATTATTGTTCTGGACATAAACTAGAACCAAGGAAATGCAATTAACAAGTAAAACATAAGCTCTGTTTGTTTTCCCTCCCATTGAATTATGTGGGAAGGCAATCAGAGGGAAATTGTGGATGAGTAGTAATGAATTTCAATGTCACAGGGTTCCAGGACCCCCAACACACCTCGGAAATTGCTGCCGACCTTCCTAAAACAGACCTGGCCCTGGAATACAACGGTAGCATGCTACTAGTATCTAGGAGATTGAAGAACGAGGTGACTACGAGAGAATTCCCGCTACGTGGATATTTTCGTCATAGAAACGTCATTTTAAGTGTCATGTGCCTCACGTGACTGACTATTTTGAATCAATCGACCCCCGACTCTCTTACGTAACGAAGAGGAACTGGTCGCCGCTACAGGATGATTAGTCAAGTTGCCTAAATCAGCGTGGCAACAGTGTGGCAATGAATTTTGACCCAACCTGCAGAACATTTTGTTTTGCTTGGGCTCGACTCGACCTCAACCCAAGATAACCATACACCAAACATAGGCCCAAACAACCGGAAGTCAAAGGGGCTTAACATTGTGGACATAGCTGTAACTGAGGAGTGTGGCCGACTAAATGAGCACATTGATGTATATTTTAGATAAGAAAGATGGTATCGAGATAGAGATAACGATGGGGTAATAGTTCCACATAATGTCTCTGAGCAGTACGTAGTAGTAGTCCATGAAGAGAAAGCACTACGCAAAAAAAAAAAGATTGTAAATACGAGATCACGCCCGTCGCTTGGCCAAGAATAAATAAATCAAGGCGGTACGGAAACGTGACACATCGAGTCGGAACGGCGGCGTACAGGAATTTTCCATATGAGTGGGGGGAGAATGCATGTAAAGGACAGACATATGATGACGGAAATTGCTGACGAGCCGGGAGGGAAGGCTGTGCAATCGGCCTGTGGAGTGGAGTAAGAAACATATTGTCAAACACGCGCCGAGAGTGTGGAGTGCTTACACATGGGGTTAAAGAGAAAAAGACAGCTGTGCGATCGGTGACGGAGTTTACTTGACGTCGCGGCAAGAGCATGCGGGAGTCTTGCCAACGTGGCCTTTGCCGCAGGAATCACACCAGCTCCTGGGGCCTTTTTCGACACCGATGGAGACTTTGCTAGAGGAGGAGCGGTGGGAAGTAGCGTCCTCGTCACGGTGGATGCTGACGAGATGGCGGCCCAAGTCGTGCTTGCGGCTGAAGGAGCGGCCGCAGGAGCTGTGTGGACAGACGTGAGGCTTGAGCCTGTTGGGATCGTGGGTAGCCATGTGTGTCTTGAGGTTGTAGGCACGCGCAAAGGCTGGAGAGGAAAATGAGCACAGGTAGCTGCAGAAGACAATGCAATGCACCTCGTGGACAGTTCTGGCACTTGTACTTTTTGCGGGGGTCGCCCTTTTCCTGGGCCACAGAAATGACTTGCACAGTGGAGATGTTGGATGGAGATACAGTGGGCTGTGCTATTGTTGGGGTAGCAAAGCCGAGCTGGGAGAAGAAGTCGGGAGAGATATCGGTGTGCTTGGAGGGGGGAGCGTAGTCAGAAAAGCTGGATCTGGTAAGGAAGGCCTTTGGGCTGTGGGGGGGAGTGGGGGGGAGGGGGCCAAAGGAGTTGGGGTCGTCTGGGGGCATGGTGGGGTAGTCGTGGACACAGATGCGGGAAAAGTCCATGTCGTAGGAGAAGGCGTCAGAGTAGGCGGTGTGGGGCTCGGAGTAGAAGGAGAGGTTGTCGTGTGCAGAGGACTCAGAGGACTGGGTGACAGAAGAGGGAGGCCCCAGACTGGAGGCGATCTGCGAGAACGCGTTGTTGACCTGGGTGACCTCGAGTTCCAGGAGATCGCCAAGCTGATCCAGCTCGTACTCGAAACAGTCGATCGAGGGGACAGCAAGCTCTGCCGGCGAGTGGAACGACGAAAAGTCGAGGCCGTAGAATGCCTTGCTGGGCGGGAGCTGCGAGGGTTCGTACATGGCCATGTCGAGTCACAGCCAGAGCCGCCCGTCCCTATTATCACTGCTGCGCTTTCTTACGTAACACACTGCCCACGCACAACAAAACATTACTAGCCCACCGCGAGGGTCGAACTCGCAGCCTTCAGATGGACGCCCGTCCCTAAAAGTCTGACGCTCTGGCCGATTGAGCTAGGCGGGCGCTGACAACATTCCATCTCCACACGCCATCGTCCAATGCCCAGCATCTGCCATTCACACTACTACACATTCTACTATACACCGACCCTGGTACCCCGTCAGCACCACACACCTCCACAGACTGACAAACATACCTATGCACCACCTTTTTCTGTACACCGCATCAGTTTCACCGTGCATCACACAAACCCAACCACGTACCTGCCCCGAGAACCGAATGATCTCCCGCTTCTCCATAATAAACAGCGTCCTCTCCAGCGCATGGCTCGAGAACCCTTGTTGCGTCACAAACTCCCTCACCAGACTCTGATAGCTCGTGCTCCATCCCACAGGCAACCGCCGCCTCAGCTCCCTCTCAATCCGCGCCATCTCCTCGTTCAGTTCCCCGCGCGACAACCCATCCGCCGATCCCGCGGACACCGCATCCATCGTCGAAAACTTGAACAATCTGATCGCCTCCTCAACATGATGATTCTTGACAACCGGACTTAGTGTCATTTTAGCAAGCGACTCCGAGATCCGGATTATGGCCTCCAGTTGCCTACAGCACCTTGTTTCAGCCTTATTCCCATACCAGCTAGCACCCTTACCGTATAGTTATCGGAATCGAACTCCTTTCGTCATTGTCTCGCTCTACCTTTTGCACTTCCTTGCGCAGTTCTACAAAGTGGCTGCTCAGCATCTCCTGCGCATCAACAGACAGGCGGGGAGCGCATTTGCTAGAATCAAACAAAATCAACCCCGCGTCAAACAAACAATACGGCGAAATCAACCTCTTGCAGTATGCGATATATCTCTTCATCTTGTCCAGATCAAGCTCCCCAACATTTCCCTCGTTTTCGTCGGCCCTCTGGTTCGGCCGATTCATGTGAATGTTCATGACGTGTTGAGCAATAGTCTAACCCTCGTCTGTTAGTTGCTGCATACCACTTAATTACCAAGCCCACCTTATCCCTCGCTTCATTATGTTCATCCTTGACAATAAAGATCATATCAAACCGAGACAAAATCGTAGTCTGAAAGTCAATATTCTGTTCACAACCATAATATGTCAGCCCTCGCTTCTTGTATCAAAGATTGCAACTCACCTCTCCGGGACTCCTGCCTTCGTCATACCGTCCAAACACAGGATTCGCTGCAGCAAGGACGCTCGTACGCGAGTTGAGAACAGTGGTAATTCCAGCTTTGGCAACCGAGATAGTCTGCTGTTCCATGGCTTCGTGGATAGCCACTCGGTCCTCGTCCCGCATCTTGTCAAACTCGTCAATACACACAACACCCGTGTCAGCAAGAACCATAGCTCCTCCTTCCAAATAAAACTCGCGCTAGAAAAAAAAACATTGAACATCATAGACATTGCACAAAGCGTGAAGCATTCGAACCGATGCTGCATCCCGCTGAACAGATGCTGTTAGACCAGCAGCACTCGAGCCCTTCCCTGATGTGTACACAGCAATGGGTGCAACCTAAGAATGGATCAACATGAGGTCTTGCCCCAAAAGCGCAACCCCTACCTTTTCGACAAACTTGAGCAGCTGACTCTTTGCCGTACCAGGGTCTCCAAGCAACAAAACATTGATATCACCCCGCAGTCTCATTCCATCAGGCAAAACCTTTTTTGAACCGCCAAACAACAGACATGCCACAGCCTTTTTGATATCTGAAAATAAAGATGGGCATGTCATCATCACCCTCAACAAAGACATGTAAACCCACCAAGACTGCCATAGATACTAGGCGCGACACTCTTCGCAAACCGCTCATAGAACCCTTCACTCCGCGCCATCTCACCAAACTCCTCCTCTTCTTCGGGTGTAAACTGCACACCAAACGGATTCGACGCACCACCGCCAGCTGAAGGAGACGACATCTCAATATGAATGACGCGCAAATACGGCTGACGAAGAGCCGCAGGGCCTGCATTTTTCTGCGCCCCCAACCCAACTCAGTCAATCCACACCCAACACCAAATCAAAAAAAAGCACTCACATTCTTCGCCGACTGAAAAGTCGAGTATATCCCAGTAGCTATTATCCTCGATCCCGGCACAACCTTCCCCGTCAAATACCGATCCACAGAAAGCAACATATGTCGCGGGAGCTCTCCCACAGGAACCATATCAGGCGCCTCCTGCAGTTTCAACGTCTGCTGATCTGCAAACGTCGATTTCGAATGAATGATCAGGTACGGGTCCAACGGACAATCCTTCTTCTGACCCTCCGGCTCCGGTGCGTCACACACGCGCGGCAGCCCTCTATCCGACCCGCCCCCAACGCCACCCAGACCTCCAGCAGGGTACACAATCTTTGTCGAGCGGCATGCTCGGCATTGGAGGTGCAGCTTCGTGGCGCGGGCGGAGAGGATAGACGCGGAGATGACGATCCCTGGTATACGTACTAGTTTGTTCATCGTGTCGGCGGTGAGATCACGGAATTGGAGCATGTTGAGGCCTGAGCGGAGGGTGACTTGGACTTTTGGTATGGTTTCTGCTGCGACTTCTGGCTGGCCGTCTGGACCGCCGAGCGGGTAGAGGATCGATCGTGCGGCTTTTGTAGCTGCGTTCTCGAACTACGGCGCATGTCAGATTATAATTTTTTCCCCTCAGTTGAGAAAGCTGAGGATTTCAGGTAACGCACTAGTGGTAGGATCTCTGCAGGTTTATCCTGGATAGCATGGGCAAGCTCGTCGTTGAACAAGCTGATATGGCGTAGATCGACTTCGAGTAGATACTGCTTCAAGAGTAGATTGCCTCGTAATAAATCACTAGTAAAGTTTAGCATCTTTTCTCGTCCCGTCTCGTGGCATCTTACCGGTATATGAACTCTCCCCCAACACGGTACTGGAGGAGGAACTCCATCAGGAGTTTCTCCGTCTCTGAAGGCGAATCTGGAGAGGTCGCCGCGGGAAGGTCATGCACAGACACTGTATAGACATTGTTCGCGTCGAAACCAGACATCGTGGGTGTAAATAAGAGGCACGAACGTCAAAAGATGGACTGAACGATAAATGAGTTTAGGGTCGGCCGTTACGCGTAGCCTGGCTACCGCGTGCTTACGTCAACCACTGGCACGATTCCAAACGCTTTGCATATTCTCCAGCTGTCCTGGAAATAACGCTTCACTTTCATCCGTCCTTTGGATTTTTTTGATTCTTTTGAAATCACAGACATTGACGGACCGAGTTGTTATCGCGAAAGATGCAAATCAAACCGTACTGCTTCGACTGTTAGATCGAACACAAATACGCTGGCAGTGCAAAAAAAAGACTCATGGATTCGCAAGACCATTGTAGAGCATTGATCAAGCTTCAGTTACTCGGCGTAATCAGAACGATGAAAACAAAATTCCACGACGGAACTACAATACAGTGCTTTACAAAGTCATATATATAACGATCAATGGTGTCGATCCCAATCCCCAGGCAGACCCCGTCCACCCATCATTCCTCGTCTACGGCCCATGCCTCTGTCCTCCCGTCCTGACGTTAAGACAAGATGCTTGTCGACAAGCTATAAAATAGATCGGGTTAAAACTGTCTTAACGAGACCAGCTGATTTGAAGTCTTACATCATTCAAAATGTTGGTTGACTTTGTAAGTGAAGACAACACAGCGGTCAATTGTACATCAGCGTATTCCTTGCGAAGAATATGAATACATGGTAGCAATAGGAGATATAAGTCAGGCATACCGTTGAAAATTCATCACGGAACGCTTTGTTTTCAGTGGCAGGCAGAGATGCTATCAGAGCTGAGAGAGCGCGCAGCGTGGCGTGGTCCTTTTGAGCTTGTCCTGAGGTACAGGGTACAAAGCATGAGACTAACACGATAGTCAAAACACGAACACGATACACGCACCAGAAATCACATCCGTGATATATTTGACGAGTACCAATATACGCTCGTGAAGCATCTTAACGGCAGAACGCTGCGTCTGCAAATGTGACTCCACTGTAGCGTTGTGTCAACGAATTTGAAGACTGGAGAAATCATCAGATGCCACATACAGCTGGTACCAGTTCCTCCACCCCGTGCTGTCCAATCTACTGCGATTCGCTCTGCTTCGCCAGTCTCCACTTTGTATGGCACCTCGATGAACACTGGCCGTGATGTGCGCTCCTTTATCTCCACTGATGGTTCATACGCCTTGAATGGAAGTGGTTGGGAGTTTATCGAAGTAGAAGCCAAGTTAAGGTTAGGCTGGAGCACGAGCAAGAGTGGCGTCGAACAAAACCCCGTGAACTACGCGTTGCATGAGACAAGGGCGATGGAATAAATGGGAAAAGAACATGCTTGTTCATGGAGCGCAATGTGGCGGTTTGTTGGGAATGCGGTTACAGTGTACCAACCAATAAACTCTAATGAAGGAAACACTTGTTTGTCTGTGGCAACGATCTCTTCAAGTCAGTTGTAGGTTGACAATAGATAGTAGGTGTGTACGCTCACATTGGTCGCGTCGAGAGACAAGAAACTCTAGATCAACCGATTCTCCATCGTCTTTAACGGCCAGTTCAAAGGTAGTGACGATCTCTACTTCTCGACCAGTCTGGGTTCCCAAAAGCGCACCAAGGACTGGGTAAGCCTGTCAGATTTGAAGCATAAAGTTGAACAAGGAACATGCCAAAGGGTGAATGGGTGTTCTTTTGCAACTTTAATCGTGTGAGATGTTCAGAAATATTAAGGATCGGGAGCGGGTGTCTGATCGATGTTTCGTTGATATAATAAAGAGTAAAAGAGGATCGGACGCGATGAGATACTTACAGGGATAGGGTCAGTCCTGAAGTTGCTGTGGAGGCTAGGACTACGGAAGCTTCATCGGTGTCCATGGCACTCATAGTGGATAGCTATGTCCAATATGGATCCCAATTGACAAGACAAGTGAAGAGCAGATACACGTGATGTAGAGCCCTCGCGTCGCGCACCCTCAGCTGGTTGTTTACGCTTTCCGCCTTACAGCACTGTCTATTCCCTTAAATCATGTCAGGACTTGATGCGTACGTAGACA